AGTGCCTGTCAAATGGTCTGGTAAATGACGAAGGGTTTTGGCTTTTGCTATCTGCCGGATGACCACAATTTAAAAGCCACTCCGCCAACAGTTTGTATGTGTATGTTTATATATGTACATAAATACATACAAGTATGCATATACGTATACATTAGTGTTGGGAATTGTCGAATACTGTTGAGCATCGAGTTTTTTGGTATAGATCCTTTTAAGGTTCGGAAATTTTTGAAAGTATGTACTGCGTACTTTCTTCAAATAAACACAAGTTGGTAACATTTCAATGCTTAGTGCAGAAATCTCTTAAACTGGCAGCCCTTAATTCAAATTAATATATTAATCCCAAATTACGACAGATTAATGGCTAACTTTCCTGGCCACAAATAATGTACTTGAAAACTATTGAAACTTGAAATTGAGCACAATCATTTCTCAATACATGCCGGTAAATGTAAATATGTAGAACGCAGTATGTACTTTAAATTCCGTCATAAAAAGTTTCAAAGTTTATAGTTATCGAAATTTATCGAGTTACCCATGAGTTATGGCAACGTACTGCATTATTCGAATTCTTCTTCTTCTTTTTTGGCGCTGTAGCCGCCTAAACGATTTTGGCCGAGTTCAGCAAAGCACACCAGTCGTTTCTCTTCTATGCCAAATGACGCCAATTGGAAACGCCAAGTTAAGCCAAGTCCTTCTCCACCTGATCTTTCCATCGCAGTGGGGGCCCCCCTCTTCCCCTGCTACCACCATCGGCATAAGCCAGCAATTGCACGCTCTTGTAGTAAATTGTTCCTGAGCGGTTCAGTTCTGCAGCTCTTATTATCTTCTCCAACATCAGATTAAAGAAGTCACATGAAAGGGAGTCGCCCTGTCTGAAACCCCGTTTTGTGGCGAACGGCTAGGAGAGGTCTTTTCCAATTCCGACGGAGCTGGTGGTATTGCTCCACGTCATTTTACACAGCCGTATTAGTTTCGCAGGGATACCAAATTCGGGCATCGCGGCATAAAGGCAACTTCTCTTCGTGCTGTCGAAAGCGGCTTT